CTACACTTCTCGCATTAAAACAAATGCACCTCAAACCACCTGTCCCTCTGCGTTCATCATCTGCCGTCTGCCTACTCTTCCCCTTAGTCACACTGACTTCATTGATAGTAGGAACTGCAGATACTGGAGAATCTGAGACAACAAGACGGGCCCGAAACGTCAGCCTTCCTGCTCCTATGATGCTGCTTGGCCTGCCGTGTTCATCCAGCTCTGCACCTTGTTGTCTCGGATTCTCCGGCATCTGCAGTTCCTACTATCCCTTATTATCACATAGTCTGCTATTACACACAACCCCATTGTTAGCCACTAACAGTCCCCATTAAAGGCTATTCACTCTCCTCGACACATTGTTATCCACTCCTTTGTCTGTCCAACCGTTCTTCTTTATCTTTGGGCTCTACTCTCATCCATCATTTACTCCTTACCCTCTCCCCATACCCTATCTTCTGCATACAGCCACCATTTTCCTCGCTACCATCAGCTCTGAGGAAGGGTCACTCAACCCAAAACATTAACTCTGATTTCTCTCCACAGATGCTGCCAGATCTGCTAAGCTTTTCCAACAATTTCTGCTCTGGTTGCAGCAGAAGATCCTGATGAATCTATACTAAGATGCCCTGGAGCTGAAATGACTGATCTCTAACAACCTCAACCATCTTCCTCTGCGCCAGGTATAACTCCAACCCTGATTTCCCCTGATTCCCATTGACTCCAGTTTTGCTAGGGTTCCTTGACACCACATACGGTCGAATGCAGGTTTGAAGGGCTGTCACTCTCACCTCATCTCTGGAATGCAGCATTTTTTTGTCCTTGTTGGAACTAAGGCTGTAATGAGGTCTGGAGCTGAGTCATCCTGTTAGAACCTGAACTGAGTGTCTGAGAAGGTTATTGCTGAGTACATGATATTTGATAGCATTATTGACGGCACCTTGCATCACTTTATTGATGATCAAGTGTAGATTGATAGGGCAGTAATTGTGAAACAAAATGCAACTTGTCAGCGCACTGTAAACTCTGCTGCTAAACAGGAAAAAGAAAATCTGGAATTTAGCTGTCACTCCGTCCACCAGTGCACACACAGCTTTCCAACAGCAATTCCTGAAACCTCGGCTCCTGTCACTACCTGCCTGTTTTCCAGGTTTTTGCTTCCTCTGTTCTCTCCCAATCCTCCTGCTGCTTGCCTCCAGCTAATTTAACCTCTCCTTCTCACTCTTTTGGATATTTCTATGCAAATCCTTTGCATTTCCCCTCTTCTGCATCCACGGGCCCCTTACTCCTCCATTTTGCTTTCACTTGCCCCCGTTTAGTGACTCCTCCCTGCTTATCCTTTTGCTGCCCCACGTCATTTCGGTTCTCCCAAAGCCCTTTGCCACTCCGTCGCACCCGCTCCCATGTTTTTTTGTACTTCCCCTGCTTCCCTCCACTTCCTCCTGCAGCCCTTTCCCACTCCCTTGAACTTCCTGCCACAGCCCTCCTGTTTCTCCCCTTGTCACTCACTTTGCCTGGCAAGCTGAGGGAGCAGTGGAACGGTAGAACAGAGAGGTGGCGAAAGCAACAAGAGGCTAAGGGACGGAGTGAGGAGAGAAGCGTAATGTTACAGCATTGTGCATTCTCCCTTACACCTTCACTATCATTACTGCAGGAAGCTGCCTCAGATGCCGCTGTGAGTGACAATACCTGTGCAGTCACTACGTCTACGAAGAGTGTTGTCTCTGCAATTGTGGCATCAGCAAATGCAGCCTTTTGATGATTGACCTGTGCTGCATATTTGAAATTTCAAAATGGGTTGCAAACATGATGAAGTTGTGGTGTGAAAACATGCTGAATCATGCTTTAGCTTATTCAAATCGTGAATAAAATGGAACTTTTAAATCTCAAATGGAGGCTTCAAACAGAGGGAAATATTCTGGCAATGATTTACTGACAGCACACAAAATTGATGCATGGAAAAAAATTGAACTCGACAATAAAAGTATGAAAAAATATATCAAAGCTAACAGAACATAAATGTTTATTGTCTTACCTTTCTAAGGATCTGTGCCAGTTGCAGTTAGCATAAAATCAAAGCATATTACACATTATGATAAAACTCATTGCCATGCAAGGAAAATAGTTCACTGGTTTATGAATAATTCCATCAACTAAATGGAAGCAAAGAAATTCAACAGCTGTATAATATCTTAATTTATCTTTGTGCAATTATTTTAGATTTTTAATGTTACTTACTGCAGGAACAAGGGAAACATTTCCTCCACTTTGCTGTGATTCTTTGCTACAGTAAATCATGTTGAGGAGTTACAGACACAGGTTGCCATTTGGAAATATAACGTTGTGATAACAGAGGCCCGACTCAACGGAGGGCAAGACTGGGGGTTAAATATTCCTTTGCACCAAGTGTTCAGTAAAAATAGAAAAGGAAGGAAAGGAGGAGGCCCAGCAGTATCAGTTAAGGAAGGCATGACAGTGACGGAAAAAGAGGCCACCTTAGAAGGATTAAGGACAGAGTCATTTTGGCTGGAGCTAATGAATAAAAAGGCTACAATTACATTGTAAATTACCAAGAAATGCCAACGTTGGAATTGTGAAAATACAGAACTTCAGTTGTCCAAATGCAGACTGGGATACTGGCAGTGTAATGGCAGTGAGGGGCAGGTGTTGCTAAATTGTATTCAGGAGAGTTTTCTACAGCAATATGTATCCAGTCCATCAAGAAAGGACTCACTGGTAGGCCTAGTTCTTGGCAATAAGGTGGGCCAATGGATTAAGTGTCAGCCCAGGAACATTTAGAAGACAGAGACCATTGTATCAAGGTTCTGGATGGTGCTGGAGAATGACATGCAACAATTCAGAGTAGGAAAAATCAATTGGCAAAAAGTTAACTTCAACGTAGTAAGAACAGTGCTGAGCAGGATTGAATGGAACAAGGGCTTGGTGGAAAAAAAAAGTGAGTAAACAATGGCCTACCTTCAAAGATCGAGTAGTTTGGATACAGTTACGGCTCTCAGATGGGAAAGGGAGGACAAACAAACAAATCCAGAGTTCCCAAATGATAGGTAGGTAGAAATTAACATTACAGAGAATAAAGTGTCCTCATGACAGGTGTAAGACAGAAAATGCAATTGAGAACAAAGAGAAATACCAAAGATTTAGAGGGGAGGTGAAAAAGAGAAGCAAACATAAAGGGGAATCCCAAAGTCTTCTATGAGCATATACACAGTGAAAAAAAGTGGTTGAAGGAGAGCTGAATAGAGACCAAAATATGGAAGCAGGAGGCATGGCTGAGGTATTGAATGAATTCTTTCATCTGTCACTACAAAAGAAGAGGATGCTGCCCAGGCCATGGTGACAGAGGAGGAAACTCTGTCATGAGACAGGATTAAAATTGAGCAAGAAAGAAATCTTGGATAGACTGTTGGAACTTAAAGTTAAAGTTAATCAGGCACCAGGACCAGACGAGATGCAGCTAAAGAAATTGAAGGAAGTGCAGACAAAAGTCCTCCCCTAGATTCGGGGGAGCTGCCTGATGACTGGAGAATTGCAAACATTACTGTCTTGTTCAAGAAAGATTGTGAAGATAATCCCAGAAATTATCGGCCAGCTCATTCAACTTCAACAGTGCGGAAGCTTCTGGAAACAATTATTCAGGATAAAATTAGCAGTAGAATGTGGAACGTAGAACAGTACAGCACAGTACAGGCCCTTCAGCCCACGATGTTGTGCCGAGCTATTATCCTCCTCTAAGATCAAACTACCCTGCATACCCTACATTTCACATTGATTACAAAGTGTCAGCATGGGTTTCTAAAAGGGAATTTTTGTTTCACCAACATGTTGAAGTTTTTGAAGAAATGACAGAAAGTCTTGATGAAAATAATTCTATTGATGTGGTACTCATAGATTTCCAGAAGGCATTTGATACAGTGTCACAAAACAGACTTGTGAGATAAGTTATAGGTCGTGATATAAAAGGATAGTAACAATATAGATACAGAATTGACTGAGTGATATGAAATAGATAGTAATGATCAACGAATATTTTTGAAGCTCGAGGAAGGTTTGTAGTGGAGTTCTCAGGGACTGGTATTAGGACCTTGCTTTTTCTCATATATACACATGATCTGTATCGTGGTGTGCAGGAAATAGTTTCAGAGTTTGCAGATGACAGGAAACATGGGAGAATTGTAAAGTGTGAAGAGGACAGTATGAACCTCCAATAGAACATCGACAATCGGTGGAGTGAATGGATAGATGACAGAAGATGTTTGATGAAAAGAAGTGTAATTTGATGCACTTTGGTGGGAAGAACTTTGAAAGGCAACATAAAATAGGGGGCACAATTCTAAAGGGGTGCAGGAGCAGAATGACCTGGGTGTATATGTGCACCGATCATTGAAGGTGGCAGAACAGTTGTAGAAAGAGATAATAAAGCATGCAGTATTCTCAGTTTTATTAATAGAGGCATAGAGTACAGGAGCAAGGAAGTCATGTTGAACCTGTTTAAGACACTTCTTGGACCTCAACTGGAGTACTGCATAAACATTATAGGATATATATGAATGCAATGGTTAGATTGCAGAAGCTATTCACAAGAACGGTTCCAGCAATGAGAAACATCAGCTATGAGGGTTTATCAAAGAAGCTGGGACTGTTGTCCATCGGCAGAAGAAGGCTGAGAGAAGATTCGATAGAGGTTTTCAAAATCTTGAGCAGCCTGAATAGAGTAGATAGGGAGAAACTGTTTCCACTTGCACACTGAACAAAAACAAGAGTGCATAAATATGAAGTGATTTGCAAAAGAAGCAAGGGTGACGTCAGAAAGTACTCTCTCACACACCGAGTTGTTCGGGTGTAGAATGCACTAACATCGTAACACATCTGTGATTCTGTGGTGATAGGCTTTATGTGGTTTCACCATTACTGTTACAGTTGCTGTTGCCAACCATATTTATTTGATAAATACACTACAAGAAAAATGAACTTCATAAGTAGGAAATTTACACCTAATTTTGAGATCTTCATTCTCTACCTTCAATGTATTATATGTCTTGTTTAAACTTAAACAGGCATAACTTGCTTCAAACGATTTAGATGTATGCAATTTCTGATCAAGACTCTGACTGAGTTCTCAAAGTGCTTGCCTATAAGAAATCAATTGTACACACAGTAACGCACCAGAAACAACAAAGATATGAATGACAAGCTAATCTGTTTTGGCAGCATTGGCTGAGTAAGCAATGTTGGCTGTAAAAGCAAGAGAAGTCTTTGGTCTTCTTTTGAATAGAGTCTTGAGACCTTGAATCTCTACCTGACCTAATGAAACAGACAGAAAGGACATTGATTTAATGTCTAATCTGAAAGATGGTAGATCTGAGATGGTCAATGATATTTTATGATCAATTGTAAGAGGTGTTTCAAGACCAAACAAATTTTCCCCAAAGTATGGAGTGGAGAATTAATAAACACCATTGGGCAGCACTAGCCAACTCTCAAGTCCACTGTAACTGAAACAACTGAAGTTGAATGACAGGCAGCTTCAGAAATCATAACAAAAAACATTCAAATACAGAATCAACCAAATTGCTGTGGGTCTGGAGTCACATACAGGCCAGACCAGTAAGACTGGAAAATTTCTCTCCCGAATGAGCACTGGAAATGAGATGGCGTTTTTCTAACAATTGACAATGGATTCATGGTCATCATTAGATTCTTAATTCAGATTTTTATTGAATCCAAATTCTACCATCTGCCATGGCGGGATTTAAACCCAGGTCCCAAGAACATTACCTGGGTCTCTGGATTAATAGCCTCACGATAATAACATTAGGCCATTGCCTCCCCATTGCTTGTCAAACTATAACTACATGAGTTTCATGAGGCAGCAGCAAGTTGCCAATTGAGGGGATTATTGTTTGTTCAATGTCTTGATGATTGCTCAAATTGCTGGATTAAGATTTAGCTCCCTATCTTGCCAAACAAGCTGGACATCAAAAAAAAACCGACATAGAAACGAGAGAAGGTACGTGGAGAATTCAGCCAGCTACTTGTTCTGAAGGACCTCCACGTGGTCCACAGGCAACAACATCTCACATCAACATGGGCACCAGCTACACAACCCCGCATCTATGGACAATGCCATCTGATATGTGTTAGTGTCCAAGAACCCTGCTCTACTTTGAGGACGCTTCTGCACTTCATAGCTGCGCCGTCAACTCTCACTGCAATGCTGCTGGGAGGACATTGCATACTCAGGGACACACAACCAGCTCATGGGCTGTATCTCTGGGCTCTCACTGTTATACTGTGTATACACAGTCTAAGCTTAGATGGATTCTCACAGTATCTCTGCCTTCCATTGTCTTTCCCTCCTCAATCAGGGCTAACAAGCACATATTGCTGCTGTCTTGCCTTACCGTTTAGTGCAAATACAAAGGAAAGAAGCTTGTCGTGATTGCCAACGGCCTCAGTCCGTTCAACGGTGACAGCTTTCAGTCGGCTGTCTGGTACAGTAAGTCAAGGACAGCCTTTGACAACAGTCTAGGAGCTTGCACACAGATAGTCAACTACTCGGTGTGGTCCAAATCTGAATACTCTCTACATACGGGGTGCAGAGCACAAAATCAGGCAGCCCACCACCTGTCTTGACTCTTTCTGCCCCCAAAAGGGGGGTGAGGCATTGCTGTTTCCCACCTCGAACGAGAAGCAGGTATTAAAAGGAGATAACAGTGGGTGACAGCAGGTAACTTTCGATGCACATACGAAGGTGCCCTGAGCAAATGAGTAGACAGTGCAGCCTAGGCAACCTAGAGACAGCGAGCAGGGTCAGTGGTGTCAGGGGCTGGGGTGGCTGACAGCAACTGAGAGAAGATAGGCAGTCATGGGAGCTGAGAGTACTCTAACCCAATGAAAACTTGGACCAGACTGGCACAAGTCTCATGTTGTGGCCTTTACTGCTGGTCCTGGAGGACCAGTAAGTCCAGCCTGTGCACGACTCCAACCAGCAGGGGCTCCAGGTCCTGGCCGGTGTAGCAGTTTTCC